AAAACACTAAGGTGTGTATGTGTGGGATTTGTGTGTTTGTATGTGTGTGTGTACACAGTTTCAAAACACCCTGCAGATATTAGATGAATCTTGTTATATTATTTTTTAAACATACATGACATGACATGATACTCCTGTACTTGAAAAACATAGATAACTTCTCTTATACCTGAAATTTAAAAATTATTAGTTGCAACCTTTCAGTCTCTGGGCAAAATTGCTTCCACAATTTTTATGGGGAAGTTAGATAATAAATAAGTAATAAATAAATGCAAAGATAAAGTAATTTGAGACTGGAAGATAAGGTAAGAGGAATATAAATGGAAGATGGTCATGAAGATCTCTTTTAGACACATGGGACATTTTATATTAAAATGGTAGAGATTCAGCCCTGGCCAGTGGTTCAGTTGGTTGGAGCATTGTCTCATACACCAAAAGGTTGTGGTTCAATCCCTAGTTGGAGTGTGAACAGGAGGCAACCAATCGATGTTTCTCTCTCACATCAATGTTTCTCCCCCCCGCCCCCCATCTCCTCAACCCCTTCCTCTCAAAAATCAATGAACGTGTCCTTGGGTGAGAGTTGAAAAGAACAACTAAATGAAATAAAATGCTGGAGATTCAGTAAAGTTGCACTGAGTTCATTTTGTGTGCTAGATGCCAGAATGTGAAAGCTGGCACTTGCGGACAGAGATTCTCCAAGAGCGTTCAGGAAGGCCTGGGAAGGTTCTGTGGGGTGAGCAGCAAGTGAGGCGAATTTGGAAGGTTGAGTTCCCATCCACAGGGAACCCCAAGGGAAAGTCAAGACTCATCTGCCTCCTTGAAATCAAAATGACTGCACATTTAAAAGTGAGCTTTGTTGCTTTCCTTCTCTAAATGTTATGTAACCCTGAAGAGATCTGGCACGCTGGTTGGTTGGAGGCTCAGTGGTGGGTGAGGTCCAGGGTTTGGGGCCTGGGAGCGTGTGAGCCCACACTCATGTCACTGTGGCAGAGCCGGCGTTCTCCCTGCACTCCCTTCCCTCTGCCCTGCTTCCTTAGTTGCTTTGCATCCGATCATTGCTGTTGAATAACATAGAATGACACTTCTCTGCCGATTTTCATGCCAGAACCCCTTGGAATTTAAGCCTAGATGCAAGGATTAAGGAGAGGGCAGCCAAGGCGTCCAGGTTGCCAGTTACTTGACTGGCAACCCCATTCACATTGGGAAACAGATTTTTAAAATAAATTTGGCACTGGAAGCAATGCCATCCTTTTGTAAGGCCGTGTCAATAATCATAAATCCTCATAACTATGCCCCCCCAACCGTCGGCCAAGCTGACAAATACTTGGGTGTCAGCATATCCTTGTGATGCCACCTTCTGTTGACCCTGTGGGATTTCCTTGCTGTTTGGGTTGGCGCGGGAGCACAATCTTCTGTTTTATGTAATAAGGCACATGAGAGAAGCCCTTTGTGCTCGGCCTCTCTGAGTGGGTGCTGAGCAAGAGGTCTTGTGTACCCCATCATTTTTGGTACGGGCAAAGTTAGTGAACATTTCTGTGGCCTGGTAAATGTTTTCTAACGATGGGCAAGGTTTGTTTTTGTTTTTGTTTTTTTCTTCCCCCAGTGCCATTTTGCTCCAGGCCAAGATCATGGTGACCCAGCTTTGGTTTAAGATGAATTTAGCAAAAATGTGTTGGGGTTGGGGGTGGGGGGGCCGGGACTACAGTGTTTTCAGAGAAAACAGGCATGGGTGCGACTTGGGCGCAACCTTGCATGTGCTCCGTCAGGCCCAGGACACTTGCCGGGGCGGATCTCACGAGTACCAGGGCGAAGCTTATCGAGATCTCCAGAAATCAACAAAATGTTGTCTTTCTGGGAAGGCTTGTGGCTACCAGGAAACATAATATAGAGCCTGTGTTCAGATACGTTTTTTCATTTTTGCTTTAGACTATCAAGGGAAAAGGCCATTTAACCTCACTGGCCACTTAACCTTATTATTCATATTGTTCCTTCATTAATTTTTTATAACATAGTATTAAATGTTAGCGTCAGGGGTTGGCGGCCTTGCTGGGGGAACAGATTGATTGGAAATCAGCACAGCTGGAAACTGACCACATATTGTTTTTCTTTCTTTTAAGAAATGAAAGAGGCATTTATTAGAAGGGTCTGAGAATGCTGTACTGTGCAGAATTACTTTATAGATTTACTCTGCCAAGTCTGGCTAATGATTAATGTCACGCCTCGCTGTCCAAACGGGCCCACTTCCCTTCTCTCTTCCTGAAGTGGCAGCTTCCCGGGAACAATAAACTCCTGGAGGTTTGCTGTGATCCTCACTTGAGGAGGGGGCGGAGTCTGTTCAGAGAGGCTTCCCTGGGCGAAGGAAAGAATGCCTTCCGTGGGGTTTTCTCCTGCTAGCCCTCCTTGCAGCTTTGGAAACCTCATCAGAGCCACTCCTGCTGCCTCCTCACTGGGCTATGTTTTCAGCGGTGGGCACGTAAGTGAATGATGGAATGTTGGTGTGTGTGCTTGTGATTTTTGTTTCATTTGATCCGCTTTTAAAATGAAGGCAGGGTATTTTCTAACTGAGTAATTCAACTAGTTTTTGTGTTTCCTGGAACTTTTTTCGTTGCTGTCAGCAGAGAACTAGGGGCCTCCTTTTCTCACACCTTGAAGATATTATTGTTGTTTTGGTAATTTGTTCCATTAGTCTCTGTACCGAAAGGTTTCTCCCTCTTCCTCTCGTTTACTGTTTCTTTGTATAGATGTGTTGATGGTTTGTTGAGTTATAGTATAATAATCGATTGCTATTAATGAATAGCTAGTAAGTCATTGCTATGGTGTATTAATTCATTGCTATGTTAAAGTTTTGCAAAGGAGGTTTTCTCCATAAATAGCTATTCCTTTGGATGGGTAGCTTGTAAGAGCTGAGTTAGAAATGAAGAGAGAGATGTAGGAATTGAAGAGTAACTCCTGCTTTTGGTTCTGTGAAATGGCAACTGGAGAGCCTTTATCACAGGTGAATTAGTTATTACTTTAATTCAGTTCAGTTTTATCTTTAGAATGTCAAGGGAATTATGGGTTTGTATCTGTTGGGATTACCTGAATTACCTGTCACCAGTATTGGCATATGTATGTAGCTATCTGGAGAAGTTGAATTTGTTACTCATTGCTACTAGAATATCTCATTTAGAGTAGCATTCCCCCTCTATTTGACTGAGGCCCAGAGATGGGAATTAGGTCATTTATCTAGTATTTGGATTCTCACAATCAGATCTCACACTTAGTATTTTTCCTGGTACATGGTACAGTGCGGTGTATTGCCAACTAACTTGGTAACGTGCTAAGTGGCCACCTGAGCTCCAGGAGTAAGAAAGTAAATGGTGAGTTTTGAATTTTATAAAATGTATAGATAAGCCCAAATCAGGAGGGAATTGAGGAAACCTGTTATTATGAAGGTAGTCCTAAAAGACTTTTTTTTTTTTTTTTTGCTTCTGGCTTTATATAACTTGACAGAACTACACTAGATTTTGGATTTTGAATGTGTGTGGGGAAAAAAGAAGACTCAATTATGCATTATATTGAGCTTTGATAATATGGCCAATTTTGTTCATAAATTTCTTAGATGACTTGTTAATGTGACTGTACAGATTCTTTCTCTGAATGACTGTAACTAATAGCTACTTAAGGTGTCCCAGTATTTTTCATATGTTATCTCATTTGATTTTCATGTTAGTACAATAAGGTAGGTACTGATGTGACTTCCTTATTTTACAACTGAGGATACGGAGAGTCAAAGTGGCTCTGAGGTCACTGGGTGAGGGGAAGAACCCAATGTAAGCTTTTTTTTTAACTCAAAAATCCCTTACTCCTTCCACTCCCCGCCCCGCTCTGGTCACCTCTAAACTCCTTCCACTGTGAAACGGTGGAAAGAGCTTTGACCTCAGATCCAAAGACCCCAATTCCAATTCTCACTGGGTTGGCTCTGTGATGGCGAGTGGTTGCTGAGGTCTTCGGAAGTCATTTTCCAGCCAGCAGGTTACAATATTTGATGTTTGAAGTTCCTCTGCAGCTTCAGAATCTCAGCCCAGGATCTCGCCCGGGGCCTGTGTCAGCATTGCACTCTTGCCTGCATCATACTGGGAGGCGGGGAGCGAAGTGCGACCCTGCCATTCTGTCCAGCAGGCTTTGGCAGGAAGAGACACAGGATCTGTTTAGATGAGGAAAACCCTGGGCCCTTGCATGACTCTTTTCTCTGATCTGCTTCCTGAGCTGGCATTTCTCAGTCTGTTCTTTTTTACTCATCAACAAAAGTATTTGAGCCAGGCTGTCTTGTGGTTTCAGCCCAGGGATGAACACATCAGTTACGTGCCCATCTGGCTCCCAGAGCAGTGATAACCTCCTTGCATGAGCCCATCTGTTACCTTAGTCCTTTTTGGAACAGGGCACATGTAAATAAATATTACTCCATTCCTCCCTTAGGTGTCTCAGCTCCTGGCAGGTGGTTGAGAATGGGCTGGGCAGATGGTGGGAAAGTATTTTTAATTTTACCTCCATGGTTCACTGTCAGTTGTTCACAAATCAGTTTAGAAAATTGTGGGATACTGGGATCGGGGTGACTACATTTGACTGACTTTAAAAAGAAAAAAAAAAAACTATAACCAGCACCATCTACCACCATCATCGTTGTGTACAAGAGAGAACACAGAAGATGGATGACAAAACCTCATCAGGGAGAAAGGCCAGGTCTTCCGAGGTAAAGAGAGATGGAATTCTCATACTGACATTTTTGCCTGTGACTGGTGAAAAACCTCACCTGTGACCATGGCCTGCCTTTGGGAAGCTCTGCTCAGCCTGGCTCTTGGGTGCTTGTCTCTCACAGGTGTCGTGGGTAGGAAGCACTGTTCCGACGGGGAGAGGAGAGCTCTGTTCCCAGGTCAGCCCTTTCCTTCTGCTGCCATCTCTGTCCCTCCATGAGTGCTGTGATACAGACCTTAACTTTGTCCTTACATCTTTCCCTATAGGCAAGAAGCGAAACCCTGGCCTTAAAATTCCAAAAGAAGCATTTGAACAACCTCAGACCAGTTCCACGTAAGTTGGCAAGATCATCTTCATCCAAACACTTACACTTCGCAGGTGCCTGGGCAGTGGGGGTTCATCTGGGGGCTGGTGAGCAATGCCTTGACTGTGGAAATAGCTGTTGAAAGGAAGAGCCCTTTAAAGGGGAAGCTGTGTGCTTACTGCTCTGCGAGCTGAAATAATCACACTTGGTCAGTCAGTCTGTACTGAACAGGTAGCTTTGAACTCAGTGTCTCCTGTTACTGGTTGGCTGCAAATTGAGTGTCACAAGTGCATTTGGCAGATGGGGTACTCTGTAAGTCCAGAAAGGCCCCTGGATGTGGACTTTTTACCTTTGCCATATAGATTTGAGCAAACAAGTAAATCCTTGTGAGAGCCACCGCTGTAAAACTTAGGTTGAGATGGAAAATGGTATTTGGTGAAGACTCAGCATCCTGACACCTAGGTCCTATCCCACATAAACAGAAGGCAAAATGAGGTAAAGGAACACTTTTTAATTAGCTGAGGCTTTGGCCCAAATCCCCAAGTGAGCTGAAGTTCTGGTGAAGCAGGACACCCTCTCCCTGAGGTTTTAGGTTGAGCTCTACTTTTTCGCCAACGGATTTTCAATTGCTCTGGCACCGTTTGTTGAAACGGCTATCCTTCCTCCATCTACTTGCTTTTGCTCCTTTGTCAGATATTAATTGTGCATGTGCTGTGGATCTATTTCTGGGTTCTCGGTTCTGTTCCACTGATCTGTGTGTCTATATGTCTGTGAATATCACACTGTATTGGTGACTGCAGCTATAGTATAGTCACCTTAACATTGAGAAAAGTGATTCCTTCCACTTGGTCTTTCAAAAAATTATTTTGGCTATTTAGGGCTTTTCTCTTTTCATGTAAGTTTTAGAATAAGCTTGTCTATGTCTTCAAATAAACTTGCTGAGATTTTGATAGGAATTGTGTTTAACCTATAGGTCAGTTTAGGGAGAATGATATCTTCTACTACATTGAGTCTTCCAGCCCCTGAACATGGTAAACTTCTCCAAGTATTTCGATTATCTTTGAATTTCTTAATTATTTTATAGTTTTCATCATAAAGATTCTCTACGTTAGATTTTATACCTAAGGATTTTATTGGGGGGAGCAATTATAAATGGTATTCTATTTTTCATTTTGATTTCTACTTGTTCATTGTCAGTATAAAGAAATGCAATTGATTTTTCTGGTTGATCTTGTCCTATGATCTTATTAGAATCACTTACTGATTCTAGGGGCTTTTTGTACATTTCTTAGAATTTTATATATAGACAGTCATGGCCTCTGCAAAAAGACATAGTTCTGTTTCTTCCTTTTCAAACAGTAGTTTTTATACCTTAATTTTCTTACCTTATTTTAGTGGCAAGAATGTCTTGTACTGTGTTAAATGAGATCAGTGGGAGCAGGTAACCTTGCTTTGTTCTTTATCTTAGAGGGAAAACATTTAACCTTTTACCATAAAGCATGGTATTTGGTTTTTGTAGATGCTGATTATGAGGTTGAAGTGCACTGAGAGTTTTTATCATGAATGTTTGTTGAATTTTATTGAATGCTTTTTTTCTGCATCCGCTGGTACAACCATAGATTTTTCTTTTTAATCCTGTTCATATGGATTAAATTGATTGATTTTTAAAATATTGAGCTAGACTTGCAGACCCAAAACAATTCCCACTTGGATGTAGTATATTACTTTTTTTAAAAATTTATTTTTAGAGAGAGGGGAAGGGAAGGAGGAAGAGAGGGAGTGAAACATCAATGTGTGGTTGTATCTTGTGCCCCTCTACTGGGGACCTGGCCCACAACCCAGGCATGTTCCCTGATTGGGATCAAACCCGTGACCCTTTGGTTTGCAGGCCTGTGCTCAATCCACTGAGCCATACCAGCCAGGGTGTATATTACTTTTTTATACATTGTTGTATTTGATCTGTTAAACTTTTGTTGGGGAATTTTGTCTAAGTTTATAAGAAATATTGGTCTGTAGTGAGTTTTGGTTTTTGGTGTATGCCATTATTTTCTGGTTTTGGTATTAAGGTAATATTGGCCTGATAAAATGAGTTGGTGAGAGTTCCCTCTGTTTTCTGGCAGATGCTATGTAAAATAGGTGTTAATATCTTTCAAAATATTTTGAGATAAAATTGACAGATAACATTATTTTAGTTTCAGGTATACAGCATAATATCTTAATATATGTAATTCTTTTTTTTTATGTTTTCTAAAATTCTCCAGTGAAACAAAACAGGCTTGCACATTTCTTTTTCTGGAGTTTTTTAGCTACAAATTTAATTTCTTTAATAGTTATAGGAATAGTCCCCTGATCTTTTTCATCATGGGTAAGTTTTGGTAGTTTGAGGTTTTCAAGGAATTTGTCCATTTCTTCTAAGTTGTTGAATTAATAAGAGTAAAGCTACTCATAGTATTTCCTGAAATATCCTTTTAATGGCTGCAAGATATATTGTGCTATCCCATTTTACCCCGATATTGGTCATTTGTGTTTTCTTGCTTTTCTTTGTCAGTCTTGCTAGAGGTTTATTCATTTTGTTGATTTTTTGTTTAAACAACCCACTTTAGCCCTGGCCAGTGTGGCTTAGTTGGTTGGAACATTGTTCTGTAACCAAAAGGTTGCAGATTCCATTCCCGGGCAGGGCACATGCCTGTGTTGTGGGTTTGATTCCCCGTTCAGGTGCATGTGGGAGGCCACCAGTCAATGCTTCTATGGCTCATCAGTGTTACTCTCTCTCTCTTCCTCTCATTCTAGAAGCAATGAAAAAATGTCCTCAGGTGAGGATAAAGAAAGAACCAACTTTGTTTTCTTTATCTTCCTATTTTCATTTTTATTGATTTCTCATCTTTATGTTTTCCTTTGGGATATATTTTTATATCAGCCTTTCAACTGTCTTATGTCACTTCCCTTTACAATTTTTATTCTTCATCTTCTAATTTATATTAATATTCTGTATTTTATAAAATTTTCAAACCACCATAAATACTTCCTTCATATAAACAAATGACTAAAAACATGTGCCAGGATAAAGTACTTTCTTTGTTGCCTTTCCCTCATGTGTAGAATAAACTTGAAAGATATTTTCCTATTTCACTCTGTAAAGCCAAGAGCATCACTTTGTTATTGCAGACTATACCACTTTGGCTCACGGAGATCCTCGTTATCCTAATTGTTTTCTTAATTCTTAGGCTTAAATTTTACTCCTAAAGAAATAGCTTCCACATTGTGAATTTTTCTTGGCAATTATTTGAGGTTGTCTTGGTGACTCGTAGCATTTATACCCTGCCTCCTTCTGCTGTGCTACACAAAAATAAACAGCTTGGGACAGAGCTCCATTCTCTTTAGTTCCACGTGTGTGGTCCCTCTGCTTGAGCTTTTTCTCTGAGTAACTGATGCCAGTGTGTCTTTGACTGGGATTTCTGAGCTGTCCCCTCACTTGATTGGCAGTAACTGATTCTAAATCGAATTTGTGCCAGTCTGTCTTCTTTCATTTAACCCTCACAGGGAACTCAGGAGGCAGTTACTGTTACTCTCACCTTGTTCGTCAGAAAACAGACCTGTGAAAGGGTCACGTATCTTGCTCAAAGCAGCTGAGCATAGCCTTGTGGGTAAGACTTCAGGCTCTGGCGCTAGACAAGGTTTGTATTTGGGATTTAAACTTCACTAGTTGAACAGTTTAGTTATTAACCCTGCGAAGACTTATTTTCCCCTTCAGAAAAACAGGAATAAACAATGATGTGCTTGTTGTGAAGATTAGATGTCATAATTCATAATAAGTCTCCTAGAGCCTGTACCATTATAATTTCTTAATGAAGATAGCTCCAAATATCGCTGGTATTATGATCAATCCACTATTATTAAGTGGAAGAACTGGCATACACATTCAGAGCTCTTTGACTCTCAAGTATGTCCTTCTAGCTACATATTAGATTGGTAGAGACTCTGGCCAAACAGTCCCTGGCTGTGAAATGAGGGGCAGGACATTCCACTTCTGTGGCTGAGAAGAGTAATGGCACAGCTCTGGGTTCTAATTTCACCCACCTCCCTTTGGATGACCTTAAATTATTTTGTCTGTTTCAATGCCAATTCTTCACATTCAAATAGAAATATTAAAAATAAATGTGGAAATTAACGATGATATTTTAGGTAAAGGGTCTATAGCCCAGTCTCTGGCCCAGGTAGATGCTTAATAAATTATTGAGCCCTGGCTGGTGTAGCTCAGTGGATTGAGCGCGGGCTGCGAACCAAAGCATCGCAGGTTCGATTCCCAGTCAGGGCACATTCCTTGCCTGGGTTGCAGGCCACGGCCCCCAGCAACCGCACATTGATGTTTCTCTCTGTCTCTATTTCTTCCCCCCTTCCCTCTCTAAAAATAAGTAAATAAAATCTTTTAAAAAAGTGATAAGAGTGTAAAAAAATAATGTTGAATGGAAGAAGAATTATAACAGTAACCAGTGAACTGATTGCTCATGCAGTAGTAAAAATAAATAATCCTAATACACCAAAGCTGGTTGTTCATATAAAACAATAATACTTGGTTCCCTTTGGAATACCTCCCAGGGAAGAAATTTTGTAATAAGTTGGGTTCTTTCCCCAGTGGACTAAAGTATTGAATAAGTGACAGAGAACATGTACCCACAGTATAAACCTCTCGCAGAGACTCAGTGCCCCAGGCAAGCTTTTGTGCCCATCTTGGAGAGAACACAGTCAACTAATCCAATATGATCTTTCAGTCTTAGCCCCATCACTTGGTGCTTTTGGCAGACCTGGTGAGCCCTGTGGCCTGAAGCTTGGGTGGATTGATCCTTCAGAGGAAGACTTGGTGTTGAGAGCAGGTTCCTTGGATTTAGTCAGACTGAGATTAGAATTATGGGTTTACCAATTGGGAGCAGGTTAGCCAAACTCATTTGGAACATGGGAATAATGGTACTCATAGGTAAGGGTGTGTGTTGGGGGGGTGGTTTAAATAGTTCGTGAGGTGCAGGTAAAGCACTTACCCCTGTTTCCAGCGTATATCCTTTTCTCCTTAGGTCAGGGCTGAGAGTCAGGTGACGTGAGTTTTATTTTCAGCTCTGTTGAGGACTGTGGCTTCAGCAAATCACTGTGTTTTTCTGTGCTTCATTTTTCTCAGCCTGAGAAATGGCACAAAACCCTCCTATTAAGTAGAGGTATAATACAAAATTAGTATAAAGCTGGAGTCAGCAAACTTCTCTGCAAAAGGCCAGAGAGTAAATATTTTAGTCTACCTGGGCCACAGTTGCCTCTGTCGGATATTCTTTGTTGTTTGGTTTTTCATAACCCTTTGAACTTGTAAAAGTCATTCTTAGCCAGGCCACAGGCTGTCCTTCGCAGAGCCCTGGTATGAATACTAGACTTTGAGACCTGGAAGAGGTCTTACCCAGCACCCTTATTGGATGACAAGAAAATAGAAGTAGCCCCCAATACTAGTGACCTTTCTGTCGCTTCTGTTGCCTTTAAAAGGAAGAATGCTGAACAATAGCAAAGGATTTTTTATTGTTTATATTACTCACACGTATCAAGTAATATTTGTCTTTATTTCAAAGTTCCACTGCAGTCAGTGTGAACAAATAGTGACAACTAAAGAAAAAATAGCTTTGGAGATTTTAGCAATGAGAAATCTGATTTTTACTAATATAATTCATCCGGAAAGTGTTTCGGAAGAAACAGTCCCTGCTCAGAAACATGGGATATGTAAAAGCATCACTGCCACACGTGTGTGTATGTTGTGTGTGTGTTTTCTGCTCTCTCTCTCCCTCCCAGGCCCGGGCTTTACGTTTGTATAGAGAAGCTTATTTTATGTATTCTGTGTATTTCAGAAGGATTTTGAGGTGAGAGAAGGCTCACCATTAAAAATTGAGATTCATGTTTATATCTGTGTTTATATTTCTATGTTTCCCTCGTTGTTTTCTTTATTGATTTAGTTTCAGCAGAAGGGGTAGAATTATAGTACATTAGGATTGGGAAAAGTTGTTGTTGGCAAGGGATTCATTTCTCTCTTCCTTTCATCTTCCTTCCCTTCCATTTCCTCTTGTATTTTTCTAGAGGCAGTTCTGGCACGTAATGTCCCCCAGTTGCTTTATTATTTGGCTGTATTAACAGTATGTTTCTTGGCATACACTCCTTGTGTCATGATGCTTCTGGTGCGTTTATTTCAGGAAAAATGCTTTTCTAGGCTCCTCATTAGGTGCACAGCCAAAACCAAACATCTATCTCTGGAGTGGCTTAATATCAACCCAGGCAGCCCTGAAGCAGTAGCAATAAATACACAGGAGGTGACTGTGCTTTCTTACGGAGGCACAAAATCAGCAGGCCTCTGGCTGCCGAGATGACCTTTGGACAGTGTGCGCACGGTGTGGAGAAGAAACGTCACAATGGAATGAGACAGCCTGGGAGAACAAAGTATTCTCACCTGAAAACAGGGGTCCTGGGTCAGGTGTGATCTTGGACAAGTCACTTCACCTTCTGGACCACCTTTTTTTTTCCATCTATAAAGGCAGGGACTAGATAAATTTCATATTCTTATGGTTTGTGAATTTTGTGCATTAAGATAACCATTTGTCAGTGTTAATTTTTTTTAAACAGTTGTGGAAAAAGTTAGGTGTTAACTGGGCACATTGATATTCTTCAATGAAAAAAGTTTGAGGCTTACTGGATTATACATATCTATATAACTATATGCATATGGCTTATATTTATTGGATATTTACGCTGTGTCAGGCATTCCGCTAAACACTTTACTTGTAATGTTTTATTTAATACTCCTACTCTGTGAGGTAGGTATGCTAGTATCCTCATGGTAAAGAAGAAATAAAGCTCTGGCTGGGTAGCTGAGTGGGTTAGGGCATTGTCCTGATGCACCAAGATTGTGGGTTCAGTCTCTGGTCAGGGCACATAGAAGGAAGGATCTACCAGTGAGTGCACAAATGAATGGGACAACAAATAGATGTTTACCACCCCCCCCTCTTTCAAATAAAAAAAGAAAGAAAAAGAAGACGAAGGAAAAGAAAGGGAAGCTCAAAGAGATTAATTTAATCCCAAATGTATTTAATTACAAATCTTTCACTGTTAACACTTTTATGCTTTATTTTATTTATAAACTTCCTTTTCATTTGCAAGGAAAAATCCAATTGCATATAGTTTGGGAAAGACATTTTTGACTAAAATCTCGTGTTTTTTCTTTTCCCCCCCTTTTTTTTACCTTAGGCCACCTCGAGATTTAGACTCCAAGGCATGCATATCTATTGGAAATCAGGTGAGGAAAGTCGTCACATTATTGGCCTGTTCATATCTTAACCATTTCATGTGTATGCTCTCTGACTGCCCATTGAAAAATGTATTTTCTGTAATACGCTGTGAGGCGGGTAGGTCAGAACGTTAGAATTTAAGTAGAAGTAGTATGTGGCTCTCTTGATATTTTTGAGTGCGGAATGGAAATCAGGCTGTCGTGGTCTTGAGGGAAGGCATTTGAAGAGAGTAGATGCTTCTCTTTGGGGGCAGGGAGTGCTTCTCAAAGTCTGAGCATGGATCTAGTTACCACCAGTCAGTACACAGTTACACATACAGCATTTTTTGGACCATAAGATGCACCTAGGTTTTAGAGGAGGAAAATAACAAAAAAATTTTTGAGGCAAAAAATGCGGTAAAATATTTAATAACATAAATAACATAATATTTCACTAATGTAAATGTAAACAGAACTCAACAGCAGCATTAACAACCATTATTCCTCCCAAATTGGGGGGTGGAGGAGGCATCTTATAGTCTGGAAAATACACATTGGAGGAGGCATGGCTGACGAACTGCAGTGCAGACAGCTTAAACCGAGCACTTTGGAAGCTGGGTTGGAGCTGGGTGTCTGTATTGCCTATGACAAGCAGGTGGCATTTTGTGGGAGTCTAAACATCTCCTGACACTCGTTGCCTTCAGTGGCTCCTTGGAGAAGCGTTGAGGCCAGTAGCTCAGAAATAACCCTTGGAATGTTGGGAGAAATCAGAGAGAGGACAACGTAGTCTATGTCGAGTTTATTTTTCTCTTTTCCGTTGCGTTGTTTTTCTCTCCTGCAGAATTTCGAGGTGAAAGCGGATGACCTGGAGCCCATAGTGGAGCTGGGACGGGGGGCGTACGGCGTGGTGGAGAAGATGCGGCACGTGCCCAGTGGGCAGATCATGGCGGTGAAGGTAGAGTTGACATCCCAAACATTTTCTGTCTGTAGTGTTTACGTTTGTCCAGTCCAGTTACAGATCAGGTCTCTTCATGGAGGCGAAACAATCTTCAATGGGGTGAAACAGAAGAGATTATTTGTAGGGAACAGATTGCCCTCCAAATATGTGGAAAATACCATATTTTGTATAATGTACACTCATGTTTTTGGCCCAAATTTTCAGGGAAAAAAATCTTTCATGTTATGGTATATAGATACAGAAGTAGTACTACCCATGTATAATGTGTTTACTTAAAAAATTGGGCAAAAAAGTGTGCATTATACATAGCAAAATATAGGTACTTCCTTAATGTCATCTAATCCTGGGTCCAAATTAAAATTACCTTGATTGTTTCAAAGTTGTTGCTGTTTTTCCTATTGGTTGCTCAAATTAGAATCCGAACAAATGTTCACATTTTGCAGTTAGTTATTATGTTTAAAAAGTCTCTTTTATTCCATATTCTATTTCTTTTAAAGAATTGTCCCTGAAAATCAAGAAACCAGAATTGAGGGAAAAAATTGCCTCCGTTTGTGGAAAAGAAGGGGGGTAAAATACATCTTGAGTGAATTTGCATAGTTTCTGCACTATAAAAAGAAATGTGTAATCATTGCATATTTCTCGAGTAGATGCTGGAAGGACCTTGGAGACTCCATCTCTAAATGAATTAATAGATTTGGGCCATTGTTAGGAATGTGGATGGCCAGATGACGTGGATCCCTTTGTTTTTAGAGAATGGAGTTATCTTGCCCTTAGCTCGTAGATTTTTCATTTCTACTGCAGACTCTGTGCTAAGCAGGCAGAATGTGAAAGCCTGGTATATATCATTCCTACGATTTAATGACATAATTGCATTTCTATAAGGCTACATTTGCTGATGTGAGAGGTTTCTCTTCTCTTCTCTCAGGACCACTGGGATAAGGATGAAAGATTTCTCCACTTCTGTTGGATGCCTTCTATTTCCCACAGCTGTACCAGTTCTCGCACAGTTGCTGTTTAATCCAAAGATTCTTACTTGTTCCCAAAGAGGGGCTTTTGGCTTTTGTTGTAGGACTCCAAAGCAGCCACAGAGTAATTCATAACTGTGGCCTTGTTGCACTGAACAGATGTAATGCAATAAGTCAGACTGTTTTTGTAACTTGGAAATACATTCCCAAACATCTGCACATTTTCTGAAATGTATAATTAGGTTTTTGTAACCAAGGATTATTAGGGAAATCAAATGAATAAGCAGTCTTTCTTATTTTTCTTTTGTTACAAATAGCTAATTACTTAAGGTGGATGTTCGAAAGGTTGTTGCTACAAGTTGTGCTGTGGATTTTTGTGCTGTTTTCAGGACGGGTCCCTGCATTATTCAGTGCTTCGTCCTCAGGGCAGTAACCGTTCATTTTTGCATGCATTCCCATTCAGCGGATCCGGGCCACAGTAAATAGCCAGGAGCAGAAAAGGCTACTGATGGATCTGGATATTTCCATGAGGACAGTGGACTGTCCTTTCACGGTCACCTTTTATGGCGCACTCTTCCGGGAGGTAGGCAATCCTTCAATTCAAAGTCAAAGAACAATAGCTTTAAGAAAAGCATCTCTGATCACATAAATGCTGTGCCTGGTTGTGGTGCTCTTTCTTGTTTGACATGCCTCCCATAGAGAGGCGTATGCTTTGCGCTGGTAACATGATGCCCTGGTGCAAAGTTGGCTGGAAATGACGGTGTTTTCAAATGTATGGAGCCCTGTTCAAGACCCTGTGTCTCTCTGTCCTTTCTGATTTGATTTGCTGTCTCCTTTGGCAGGACTGCCTATATCAATTGTCTATAGACTGATTGCAACAGAATCCTTAAAATCTGAAATATTCTAGCCCTTTGACTACTTGCTACGCTTTATGTAGCCTGCTTTTGTACCATACTGGCTTATGTTTATCTTGCTCTACTGCTGCTTTTCACTTCACTACACTGTGGATTATGATGCTTCTCCTCACTCTTACAACCAGCCTTTCGATGAACTCTGGCCAGTGCTCCATGTGGGAGGTCAGGCATGGGATAGGCAGTCACAGTAGAGGCTTAGATTTCTGGGGTTCTATTGCTTGTCTCTGTTAGTATTTTGATGTGATCACATGCTGCTTCTACTTGGCTGTCTGCTTGCTAAAACTAGCAAAAGTTGCTCTTTGGAGAAACCTTGCTTGTTTATGAATTCCTTTGAGATCTTGAAAAGCAACTATACATTTCCTCCCAAAATTCAAGGAAGAAGTAGTTCTTCCTGATAGGTGTTCACTGTTTTCTCTTCTTCCCTTTTTCATCTCCTTTAACGATCTCTTAACCTCTTGCTCTCCAGGGTGATGTTTGGATCTGCATGGAGCTCATGGATACATCGCTAGATAAATTCTACAAGCAAGTGATTGATAAAGGCCAAACGATTCCAGAGGACATCTTAGGGAAAATAGCAGTTTCTGTGAGTACCTCATGAACCCTACAAGGAAAATGTGAGACGTCCAGGCCTCGTGTGAGGAAACATCCAGAGCATGTTGAATGCAGCATGGGTAAACACATGTTTTTCTCTGCGAGCACTGCAGAAGGGTCTGCCGCTGGCTCAGTTTGGTAAACCCAGTTCACGCGCCTCTCAGCAGTGCGTTCATCTGCTATGACTACGTTCCTGGTGTCTGAATCCTGACATCAGTTTAGTTTTCATTTGTAGATTTTTTACACATTTTCTTAGGACTAATAGGCATAGAAGGAAGCAGAAAAAAACAAACAAACCCTGAAATGGATGATGGTGTTTGTCCTTAAAAGATACTGAGCTTTAGGAGGATGGAGAACAAAAATGCTAGAGGCCAAATGAAAACCGAGATATGTGAGCGAGACATCCTCTGGTGGGTGGAGTCCAATTTGTGTGATTCCCTGTATATTTTTCTGGAAAGGGCCACCACTATTTGAGAAAATAATTCAATCTGGGATCTTAAGTCAGGGGTGATAAACTTGGATGTACTTATCACTCAGCTTCTCGCCAGTGATGGGCAACATAAATCTCTCTTGTGTTTCTCTTGCAGATTGTAAAAGCATTAGAACATTTACACAGTAAGCTCTCTGTCATCCATCGAGGTAAGCATTTACGGGCCTTCGCTGGCTGTTCCTGTGGTCAGGTTTGTCGCTTCTTCTTGATTTCTGCCCCACAATGGATGGAAATGGAATTGAGTCAGGCAAGAGAACTGAAGGGTTTTCCCTTGCGACTGGAGAGCAAATCAGAATATTAGCTGTTCTTGATCTTGTCCACAGACTTTAGAAGACATGGGCTTTATATTATACCTAAGTTAAATATAAAAAACCTGTTACCAACCAGAGCTGTGGGATTAGCCACCCCGCCTCCCCCCATGCACAATTTCAGAGAACAGGGCAAACATTCATCTAGTGTTGCCCATCACCTGGGAGCTTGTAGAAAGCAGAACCATTGGTCAGAAGACCAACTGACTATGAACATTAACAAGATGGCTAGGTAATCCTTGTGCACATTAAAGTGTGAAAAGTTCTGGTACAAAATGCAATATTTTCAGATAGCAGGAGGCAGGATAAAATGAAACAATTGGTAGATTTGTCCCTTCATGCTTTCCCTCCTTCTGTTTTTCCTTCCTGTGGGTCTGCTATCTATCTACCCATACACCCATCCTTCCGTCTTTCACCAGTCCATGTATCCACCCACTGATCTCTGAAAATCACCTTCCCAGCATCATACGGCACTACATTTTTACAGAGCTGTGATAGATGCCGTCAGAGGTATCTGAGAAGAAAACATATTGTTATTAAAATTCCACATAGGAATCTTGATGGGGAAATGAGCAAATACACAACAGACCCATGAACACACATAGGAAGGTGAAAGCTCCAAATGCGGAAGTAGCGCGGGAAGAAGATAAAGCAAGGAAATGATGGGCCCTGGGGGCAGTCGTCAGGGGAGGTTCTTGGAAGAGATCTGCACCACCAGGTTTTTGGAAAGATTATTGGAAAGTATTGATAGCTAATAGGGCATTGCAACTTGGTAATTTCTGTAGTCTTTGGGCCTGAAAATAATGTAAATGCTTCAAAAGTATGTCTATTGTTATTGTTGTTATTAAAAATTGAAAAAATAGGAAAGAGAAAGAGGAGGAGAAGAAAGTGAAACAGAATCCAGGTAGAAAGAAGAATGTAGATTACCAACAAAAGTGGACTGATTGTTAGGAGCTTATTTCAGATTTATGAAATATTTCATTCATGTGAGAGAATGGGTACAAAATTTAAAACAAATAATGAAATGAAATGTGTTTATCTGCCATTCTATTGAAAGGGACAATTCTAAGGCATTACTTTAAAAGCTTTTAGAATAAGTTTTTTTTTTCTGATTCCACGTCCTTTGTGGAAAGTGCCACAGGGAAACAGTTAACTGTAATTTCTATTTCCATCACCCGGAGATAACGACAGCTCATCTACTTGGGGGTGGGTAGGTGTCAGATCTTTCCAGGCTGATGGAGGCAGTGATACTCCTTCATCCCCATGTATATCCTGTGACCTGCCTCGTGGTCTGGAGTGTCCGAGTTTATGATGAGTTGTCCTCCATGACCTCTGACACACCTTTTGGAGGGGCTTTAATCAAAATTGGTTGATTTGATTGTGTTTGGTTATGTCACAGTATGCCTCTTCATTCCATGATCTGTTATTCCTACACTAAATGTGCAGTAGATCATTGCAAACTGGGCTTTTAAAAATTACGTTATTGTCATAACACTTAACATGAGATCTACTGTCACAATAAAACTTGAAGTGTATGTTGTTCACCATAGGGATGATGTCGTATGAGGGTGAACCCCAAAAATCCGAAATTTGTTTATAAAAAACTGCATTTATTCTTGCATGTTTAAACTTTGGTCAACTTCAAATATTCCCCATTTGATGCAATAAACTTATTGAGACTTTTTTCCCACTGCTCAAAACAGCTTTTGAATTTCTCAATTTCGATGCCTTTCAGTGCTCCTGCCATGTTTTGTTTCACCTCTTCCACATTGGCAGAATGTTTCCTTTTGAGGACGTTTTTCATCCTGGGAAACAAAAAAAAGTTGGCTTGGGGCGAGATTGGGTGAATAGGGAGGGTGGGGCATGGGGGTCATGGTGTTTTTTGGTCAAGAACTGCTGAACACTCAGTGTGATGTGGACAGGTGTGCTTGTAAATCACCCATGATGAAATGGGTGAACGCATTGAAAGAATCTTAAAAAAAAAAATCCCTGAAGCTGAATGCAGCCTCTCACAACAACGCTAGCTGGTTCACTGATACAAATGGGTTCCTAGAACACTCACCCAGTGGGGGAAACCTGTAGTACAGAAGACCCACCTTCCAGAAGATAATTTGGCTTTTTTTTGGATCCCCCCCTTGTATAGCAGATCTCTAGAACTTACTCATCTTGCATGATTTAGACAATGCCCATGGGAAATGGCCATTTGACTCAGTAATCATTTTTTTCAAGAATAAGAAGTACATAACTGAGCCAGGGATGGTGTTCACTTTTATGTTGGGCCTGGGGAAAGCTGAAGGAGAAATGGAGATTTCGGGCCCTCTGGTGGTGGAGGAATGAATCTTCCCAGCTGGCTGAGATGATGGGCTCCTGGTTGTTCTTGCTTTCAGACGTCAAGCCCTCCAACGTGCTGATCAATACCCTGGGCCAAGTGAAGATGTGTGATTTTGGAATCAGTGGCTACCTTGTAGACTCAGTTGCTAAAACTATTGATGCAGGGTGCAAGCCATACATGGCTGTAAGTACATGGCTGGGGGTGGCACCTTAGAATGCAAACCCTGCCGGGAGATAGGAACCGGAAGGCTGTGGAGGGAAAATGGAAATGAATCTAAGATGCAATAGATATTCTGTGTCACCTTTTTTCTGAAATATGTCCTGTCTGGTATATTTAGTTACTGGATTCATCTATATTTTGTTTTTTAAAAGGTATATTATTTTTTTAAAAATAAGCAAAAAGTATGTTGTTTGGCAAAAACAACATGTAACTAATGCATAGAGCCCACACAGTGTTCTGCCCTGAGGTAGTTCTGCAGGAGAGTACTACCTTGTTTGTCGAGGACAGAACAGTAAATAGAATTTAAATTGCCCACATAAGCCGGTTAGGTCAGTCCTGAGAGAAACTCATAGCTGTGAGCATTCATTGCCATTAGCAGAGAGCTTGGGACCCTTTTTCACTTAAGGGACTCCTATATTTTATGTTGAAATGGACTTGTGCTGGAATTAAAAAACCTCTTGTCCCTTTTCCACTAAAAGTGTTTCAGTCTATTAACACCAGAGGGTAGCCCAGTGCCTCTTTTTGATTTTTTTTTTTTTTTAAAAACTGAGTTCTGGGCTGTTGGTGTTTTTAACAAGGAACATTCTAGACTGGCAAAGTAACGTTGTGTCTTGCTTCTTCTGGAGGACAACTGCAATTAGTTTTGAATTGGGAGGGGACTTTGATTTATTATTGTCTCCAAGGAAGAAGACTAGCGTAGAATGGGGAAATAACGTAGACACATGTATTTATCGTAGTTAGACAGTCCCTTCAGAGGCAATGTTAATAGCATCAGACAACTCACTTGGAGCTGGTGCTGTCCCTCATACCCAGAGATTTTATTGAGCTAAGAACATCATCTCACTTGTCTTTTTCTGCCTCCTTTCTAGCCTGAAAGAATAAACCCAGAGCTCAACCAGAAGGGATACAGCGTGAAGTCGGACATCTGGAGTCTGGGCATCACAATGGTAGTGTACGATAACCATCATGGACTGTGACACTCAGGGCATGTGCGGGAGTGGGGTGACCTTCGAGACCAAGCGGCCAGTGCCCTAAATGCTGGTCCTAGGCATCCTTCCTGCGTGAGGTAGCAGGGATTCTGAGTGACAGCCGTCTGCAGGGTGGTGTGGGAGAAATGCTGAACAGAGGTTGGGCAAGCCCAGTTTTTCCCTTTATTCCACCTCTGAGTAGTTGTATGCCCTTGAGGATGGATGTACATAGGCTGTCTCACTCTCCTCTGTAAAATGAGAGGGCCTGCCTGTAGTTACTCATAGTTTTCTTAAAATTAAATCATTCTAATCAAGGCATAAGGACCCCAATAGGACAGTGTTATCCAGGACACAGACAATGCTTCTCAGAATTCGGTTATGATAGAAGTCTTGGCTGTGGAGGTCACGTGTGGCTAAAAGGCATGACACAGCAATGTCATCTCCGTAAGCACAGCCCTAAAGTTACAAGTTCAGTGCTTAGTTAATAACTTTGCTCATTATCGCTGTTCAGTGGGTCACCAAGGCCAGGAGCTTTCCAGTGGGGTCCTGACTCTTTCCTAGGCCTGGCAGCTGCTTAAATCCCATGAGCAACTTCATGCTTCTGCCCAGAAAACATGGGATCTTGTAACAGCAAAGTGGCCTTTACGTCAAGTCCAGAGAAAGATCAGTCCTTTGGTCCTTGGTTATTTTTATTTCATTCCAGCAGGAGACCTGCAGGTGGCAGCAGATGTACACAGCTCTGAAAAAGGCTGAGGGCGAGAATCATTTTTCAGACTCAGCAATTGAAAAAATATGGTTGCTTTCTGTCCTCAAGTTCAAGACCACTGGCTTGTAATTTTAAAGTGCCACAGTGGGTTTTGGTGAGGACCCAGTTTTAAATAGGCTTAGTAAGATAGTATCTGAAAGTCCAGCACTAGGAACTGGGGGAAATTTGTAGAGAACATATTCTTAGTTTACTCCCCCCTGAAGTTTTCCTTGAACTTCATCATTTCTTTCTGCTGGTTCTCCTGGTTGAAAACCCAGTGGTCTCCCTGAAGGAGCCGTGTGTAAGCTGCTGTCTCTCTGTTTTCCTCTCCCCTCCAGATTGAGTTGGCCATCCTCCGGTTCCCCTATGATTCATGGGGAACTCCTTTCCAGCAGCTCAAACAGGTGGTAGAGGAGCCGTCGCCACAGCTCCCAGCAGACAAGTTCTCCGAAGAGTTTGTGGACTTTACCTCACAGTGGTAAGAGAGCCTGGTCTCCCAGACGCTGTGTTCAAGGAAGAAGAGTTCTCATGAATATCCTCCATCGGGTTTAAGCCATCATGCATACATTCATTCCAAAAGCATTTATGGAGTGCACCCTCGATGCTGGAGCAACAGAGATGCTTCTGTTCAGTGCCTGCCCTCACTGAGCTCAGAGTCAAGCAGGGGAGTCTCATCCACCAATAATTATGGTACAATACGGCAGGCCCAGTGATGGAGATATTCATAGGGTATTGTTGGGGGGGGGGACTCAGAGAAAAGGCATTAGGATAGAGTTTCTGAAGGAGATGTATCCTGAGCTGAGACCACGTGAGATAGTCTCCAAGTGAAAGGCAAGTAGGGGAAGGACGGGTATTCCAAGCAGAAGAAGCATCCTACATCTTGTTGCAAAGTGAGAGACTCCATTATGAGAGCTTGAAGCAATTGGATGTTGGTTAGAGCATAAACACAGGGATGGTAGGACCCACTGGAGGTTTTCGAGGTGGGAAGTAGGTAAGATGCAAAGAATGAGCTTAGGTGAGAAGGCGGCAGCTAATTTCAGAGTGTTTCTTATGTACCTAGAAGTCCTGCGATAGTTCCAGTGGTTAGTAGGCTGTGTCCGACAGAGTACTTGCTGGCTGTGGATCCATGTGCCTGTGGCCATGTGATGGACAACAACCAGAGTCTGAGAAGAGAATCTAAAGATAGTTGGACTGGAAAGATAAAGGAGCTGTACTGATGCCATGAACTTTGCTTATATCAAAATTGCCAGTGGAATCAAGCAAAGTAGGAGAGGGGATAGTTTTCTCCAGAAAATCTAGTGATTTCTGTCTGCACCGGGACCGTGTTGCCTAATGTAACTTGATGCTCATGACCATTGCAAGTGATGCTGGAAAGTGATGCCAAGGGAAAGCTCAGAATGGAGCCGAGTTAGTTTATCGGGGTGTCCTGCAGAAGCAGGTGAGAATGGGGAGGAGGGGGAATCAGAGACAGTCACGGGTCCTGCTGGGGCTCTTGGACAGGAGCGGTGCTGGCCACGTGCTGTGGAGGAAGGGACAGGAGTTCTAAAGGCTGTTCGAGAGCCCAGCTCCCTCAATATCGCCATTCCTGGGCCTCCAGGCGCTTTGGAAGAAGCGTTCTGAATACAGCTTTTATCGGGAAACGTGCTGAGATGAAGCAACTGTCTCTGGCTGGTGAAACTGAGGCCCCTTGGACTCTCTGTTGGCTCTAGCCCCGTGTCACCTCTGGTACTTCCCCCTAATGACGTTTGAGGGAGGCCTACCATTGTTTGTGTTTTGGCTGAATGCCAGAGAGGGGCTGGAGCCCTGGGCTCTAGCACTAAAGGCTCTAGGATCCCTTACATTACGATGGTGGATCCTCTTAATACATACACCCTCTGGGCTGCCAATATGTGTCTTCCTGTCTGCTTTCTTGGGTGTGTGCCAGCTATGGGGTGCCCCTGTCAGGTTGAGATGAACTCGTGATTTTGCCTTCTGGAATCAAAAATTTTTCCTTTTCGTATCCAGAAGTCATGTAGGAAAAAGGATGGGTCATTTTTGAGAGTTCAGACCAACCATTCACAAGAGGGGCAGTAAGGGTCTTAACTAGAGAAGTCTTTTCAGACTATCCTTTATGTAACCCTTGTCCCGCTTGCCCCCTTTCCCCAAGAATCTGGGTACTTCAGAAAACTTTGGTAAGAACAAGGCTGGTGTGAAAAGTTCTGGAAAGCTGACCTGCCTTTGGTGAATCACCAGTTTAACTCAGTGGTTCTCAGCTCTGCCTGCTCACATATAAACCATGAGAGAGCTTCCCCGTGTATGGTCCGCTTCACCTGGCCTCCCTCTCCTGCGAGATCCTGGTTTCACTGGTCTGAACAGTAGTGTTTTCCAAGTGTCCTCCAGTCATCCTACTGCACAGCTGGGTCAAGAGCCCCAAATGTAGACCTGCGGACCCAATGCTTGTGTCCAGGAGCTGCTTTTCTTCTTCAATTTATTGTTAAAAAAGCATCCAATTACATTTTTTTAGCAAAGTATTTCTTTTTCTAACTTAGAATTTTCCTTAAAGAATCAGAGTGTTAAAGCTTTTCACAGATATTTTTAAAATGAAAACCTTGAAAAAGAAGTGCTCGCCATTTTTTAAAAAATTTTTTTAAAGATTTTATTTATTTATTTTTAGACAAAGAAGGGAGGGAGAAAGAGAGAGAGAGAGAGAAACATCAATGTGCGGATGCTGGGGGTCATGGCCTACAACCCAGGCATGTACCCTGACTGGGAATCGAACCTGTGACACTTTGGTTTGCAGCCCGCGCTCAATCCACTGAGCTACGCCTGCTAGGGCAAGCGCTCGCCATTTTTAATGTATGAGCCCGGATGTGGAAATCCCAGATACATGTATTGTTGTTCTTTATATTGTGTCCACCCTGTGCCTGCCCACTCCATCCTGCCCCCACCCTGGCCACCCAGAACACTCATGGTCTTCTTGACTGCCCCTCCGAGGCCTCCGTTTCTCTTTTTCTCTCAATTTTAGTCCCAGCTACTATAGCTTGTAAATTTAAAACTTATGAGCCATAGACATTTTCCAGCTTTCCTGGAACCATCAATCCTGCTAATACTGTTAATTCTGTTTAATTTTACTGACACTCAAGTCAGCTCGTCTGGGTTGCTTATGGGATTTACCGAGAGAGAGAGGAAGAGAGGGAGAGAGAGAGAGAACTCGAAATCACTAGCACTGAAGTTGTGAGAGAATATGGTCTTCTTCAGACTTTTAGTGCTGAAGAATCTGGTGCTTAAGAATATCAGTTGTGTAAAAGCAGACTCATTTTGCTGGTATGGGAATAGCAAATTAGAGGGAGAATTTTACACGTGTTCTTACTTATGCTTGGTCAGATATTTTAAGAGTATAGGCTCTCCTATTTCACATGCCAGGGCAGTAGCTTTTTGCCTATCATTCACCAATAGAGTCTTTGATGTGTCCTTAGTATGACCACTATTTTGAGCCCAGTTGGAAACATGATCAGATGCTTCCAAAAATGGTGCTGATTTTTTTTAAAAAAGATTTTATGAATGGCTTAGATCTTTATGGAAGCATTTTATTTTTCATACATATTAGCACACAGATGCATACCTTCCCCAGTGGCCGTCTAATTATTCCACTTGTTTTATTTATGCTAGTTTTAAAGTTTGATCTGGAGCTGGGTGGAAAGAATGGAAAAATGATAACAACCTAAGAAAACTTCTTCTATTTCATGATGAAGAGAAGGACATAGCCTCTGAGTGGAACTCCCTTTTATGGCTGTTTCTCCATTTTTCTCGGTAGAAAACTGTATTTCTGAGACACAGCTTCATGGAAGAACCCCTTTTCTGAGTGATCTCCATGCATTTTTTTTTTTGGTATTTTTATGATCTAGTCAGGCTATGATCCTTCCAGACATCTCAAAAAGCCCCAAATCTTTATCATAAGTGAGGAAAGGGAGCTACCGATTTAGAAAGTGAAATATTTAATTTCAAATTTCAAGGTAAATACACCTACGTCTTTAACGTCTACATCTGTCTCTGAGCTACATGCAGAGCTAGAAGAGAAGGGGTGCATCACTCATAGCCTAGGGAATCCATCCGAATATTTGTGGTCTTTGATGGGAGACGTCCCCACTAAGCTTTCGCTGACATGACGATGGTACTAAATACTCTACACCAGCGGTCCCCAACCTCTTTGGCGCTAGGGACCAGTTTTGTGGAAGCTAATTTTCCCATGGGCTGGGGTGGGCGGGGTGTGGTTTTGGGATGATTTCTAACAGGCCCAGACTGGTACTGGTGTGCGGCCCCGAGGCTGGGGCCCTCTGCTCTACACCCCCATCCAGGGAATCAGCTTGGCCACCGCTCTCCTCTGGTCGCTGCTTGTGGTCTGTGGGGTAGAGGAGCAAGCACTCACAGGCCACCCCCATCACATCCTAAGTTCGCCCTAGAGCCCAGAGATCCAGCTGATACCAATTTCTTTTATAATAACATCAGAGAAACATTATCTTGAGGGGAGGGTGGAGAAAAGAAAAAGTTCAGGCATTTATTCCTTATGAACTTGAAGAACAAAAATGCAGTGAGAGCTTCAAAACGCTTCCTTTGTGTACTGATTTTGAAATAGGGACGACTGAATGGTATGTTCTTCCTCTTTCTTCCCCACCCAAGGCTTTCTTATCGTAGAGTTTTTAATGAGCTCCTGGGATGAGTTGTGCTGACCAGGTACACTGAGTCTGGGGTTTTGTCGTAGAGAGGTCTGATAGAAAAGCTATACCTTCTTGTCCTGCAGAAGGCTTCACAAATGAGTTTCTCAAGACAGTATCTTTATAGGCCTACAGTTTTTACCATCACCTCTTCCTGTAGGTTCACAGGCTCGGGGACTGAAGGCAGTCACTGGAAACCAACTCCTGAACACCAGAATAGCTGGATTTCCTTTTTGCTCTCCCTTGAGGCCAACTGAAGAGGCTCAGGGCCCGGCTGACCAGCCCGCTGGCATGGCGGTGTGTGTTGGGGGCCCATCCAGACATTGATCCCGTCTGACTCAGAGGAACTAGGATAAAACAAACACAGGCCAATATAGTTCCCAGCTTGTTCAGGAAAGACAGCAAAAAAGAGGCACTGGATATGTATTTAGCTTATGACATAGGTATGGCCTGAGAGGCGGAGTGTGTTTTTATTTTGTGGATATACCACATAGCCTTCTTGGAAACGATGGTAGGGGGTGGGGAATTCAAACAGGCAGAAATCCTCTGGTCAGCACAAACTCCAAGCTAGCAATTCTCAAGACAGCACGAAGCTGTGTTTTAGTGTCGGCCACGGTCAGGAGCGTGTGTTGTGGCATTTGGAAGAGGAATTAGGGCTGTTAGCTAATTGCACGCTTGACAATGACAAGCCACTTGAAAATTCAAAAGTCTGACTCCACTCCAAAAAGAAATCAGTGTCGCTTTGAACTCCATAGTTGTTATTTTATACTGAATTTCAAGCGCTTCCTATTAAACGTGGAAAGTTTGCCTTTTCCCCTAACCTTATACTGAGTGTCTTGCTATTCTTAGGCCATGTTTTGAAGTGTTCTCAGTTTAAAATATAGAGGGAATGGGTTCGATCTGTTATGTTAATTTAATAAACAGCCTTGGTTGGCTGTGTAAGTATTTTTTCCATCCACACAGCCGTGTTGAATCTTGAGCTTTCTAATCAGGGACTGTAAATCAAGAATGAGCCTACTGGTTAACAGTCTCTGAGATTTCAGGAATCCTTATCACGTTATGCCAGATAAACTTGGGGTACTTTCCCCACATTTTCTTTATACAGATTTAAAAAAAAATACAGGAGAAATTTTCATAAACTCTTCCAGAAGTGAAAAGACATCATGACTTAAAATGACCTGTCCTTAAAAAAATGGAAGTTTCAAGTTCTCCTACCTGAGGAGAAAAGAGATGATGATTTCATTATCTACTAAATAGAAGGTTAGAATTCAGCAGCCTCACAAAGATCTCTGGTGGACGAAAGCGGCCATTGTTTTTAACATTTGAGAAACAAGCCCTTCTTCCCAACTCTCGTTCCCGTGGGCGTGGTCCTCAAGGCGAGTGTTTCAGACTCCGCGTGGAGGGAGGGGCTGTCGCCCGACTCTGTGTTCCGTCTGCCTAACCACTTCGCTATTGTGTGTGGAGGTAATGTTGAATTCGTGTTTCTCATTCTGATTTTAGCAAGGCAAATTGTTCGGATTATGGAGAAGACATTCTGGTTTTTTATTTGCTTCTGAACAGCAGCTGGAAATGTAGAGCTTTTATATATTAGCCTGTTTGCTTTTTTTTTACTAGGGTCTCTGTGTGCAAGTCAGCGACCTCCTGAGGTCACATTTCTGCTTCTGTATTTCTTTCTTGGTGAAGTGGCTCTTGGATTTAGAAGGAAGAACTTTTGCTTTCAGGGATGGGGGAGGGAGGGGTGGTTGTGGTGAGAATGTGCCCAAATGACAGACAAACCAGCTGGAGGTACTTCTAAGTCAGCAATTTTCAACCCATGTGCCACGGAAAGTTTTGAAACATCGAACACCTGACTGTGTAGTCAGGGGCGCTCACCTCTTTTCCCTTAGATTGGCAAATAAAAAAATGACAATAGCCCACACAACAATAGCAGTCTGGTGTGAATGAATCAAAATTATACCTATTTTTTTCTCAGATCAGCAAAAAGTACATTGTTTGGTGTGCCATAGAACTTTAGTGATTAGTGTATGTGTGGCATGAGATGAGAAAGGTTGGAATTGCCGTTCTAAGTGAAATTCATTCCAGAGAAGGGGATAGAAGGTGGTGATGAGGACGGACACCCAGTGCACGTGGCCCCGGGTTTCTCAACCTTGGCACTGGCAACATCTGGGGCTGGACCACTCTTTGTCATGAGAAACTGTCCTGTGCATCATAGGATGTTTAGCAACATTCCTGGTCTCTGCCTGTAGACGCCAGGACCACCCTCCTCCCCCACCAGCCATGCCAACCAAAATGCTTCCAGACATTCCTAAATACCCCCTCCAGGGCAAAGTGCCCTATAGCCAAAGACCACCAGGAGGGCCCTGTGGAATCCCAGGGTATAGGGACATGCGGAGTCATCAGGGGGAATGATGAAGTACCATTCATTTCACTCAGGCGCACCTTCCCATGTCAACCCACTTTGACAATTGATAATTCTTCTTTCTCACTCCCTCTTATTGTTGTCCTCAGTTGAGACGAAACTTTCTCTCATAGGTTTTCTGGTCACTGAGGTCACTAGGTTGTAGATCTGCCCTCAGTTCCAGATTGAAGCTTCTCTGCTCACATCTACCTGTACCCTGTACAGGTACCCTGGCTTCTACCCACAGAATTGCCTGCAGTAAACTGGTAGGCTGCTTTCAGTTGTTTTGGTTCAAAAGCTTCCTCTTTTCTTCATTTTGATTTATTTTAAACCACAGTTTCTCAAAGTGTCTTGACTACTTCACTCTTCTGTGGTTCTGTACCTGGCTCCCACCGCCCTCGTTGTTGGGTCGTGTCCCACAGACCAGGTCTCATCTGCTCCAAACGATCCATTCACACAGATCCCATCAGCCTAATAATCACTCCCATTTTGCCTCTGTCAACACCAGGCAAAGTGCCTTTCCATCCGTGTCTGACTTGTGACCCAGTGGGCAGGGCAGTCTGTAGGTTGCCTTGCAAATCACAGTTTTGAAAACCATCCTTGTCTCCATTCTGTAACCTGGGGTCCCAACTCCAAATAAACCACTTCTTTTGTTTTTTTTTCCGTTTTAAGGCTGGGGATGGATTCAGGGTGGGTGGAGGAATGGGTTTCTTCAGATTTCCATTTTATTACCATTGTCTGCAGTGTCAAATGTTCTTACAGTGTCTGTGTATGTAGACAGCCGAATCCATGGGAACCACCTGACAAGAGTGCATGACCACAGAGTCTTTCTAAGAAGCGTACTTGCTAAGTCAGAGGCTGGGTGCGCTTTTCCTTCCAGAGAACACAACGAGACCCGCAGCAAGTAGGGCCACCTTAGACACTGCATTGTCTGCATGGCTTCTATCTCAGGCAGGTTTGGTGAAGATTGTATAAAAGCAAATTGTACATTCAGGGGTGTCAGCAGCAAGGGAAACAACCTACCGAAGATAGTGAAGTGATAACAAATGTAATGTAAAAAACACTGACCAAGCGGGGTGGAGTGAACATTGTTTTGAAGGAGAGTAGATATGGTTTTTGAAATATAATGGCTGTAGATTGGGAAAGCTAGTTTATAGGGCACTGGTAAAGTATCAAAGGAAAGTGAGCACGCTTACACACAAAGACACACATACCTATTTTTTCCCTTAAGGTGCACCAAGAGTGATTTAAACCACAATTTATAAGCGTAACAGAAAGTCAGGATAGAAGATCTATGTTTTTGGTATACTTTTAAGGCTGGTTATGTTTAGTTTCCTGCAAGTTCTGAAATGCTAGTCTTGTGATAATACAGATGGTTTCTAGATTTAATGTGATTTTTTTTTCTTTAAGCTTGAAGAAGAATTCCAAAGAACGGCCAACATATCCAGAGCTTATGGTGAGTATTGTTCAGCAGTGTAAACGTGTCCAAACTAGCAGCTAATAAAGATAAAGTGACGAAGTGACTAAGACCTGAATTAAGATCGGGCAACCATATTGGAAGAGCTGACTCACTCACTGAGATGGCGGTAACTGCAAGTGAGCTGAGGGGAAAAAGAGTTGCATCCTTCATTCATCGCGAGTCCTTCTTTACTATAAATGGGGATGGGTTACCAGTCTGAGCACTTTTTCCATGCTGATAAACAATGTCATAGACCAAATTAGGTCTATAAAATTTGTATTTTCAAACTTGAAATATACACAGTCACAAATTACTAATATATAATGAAGGAAAGCATGATTTAACAGATTTTTTTTAAATGATTTTCCAAAGCAGGTAGTTTTTTTTTGTTTTTTTTTTTTTTTAAAGATTTTATTTATTTATTTTTAGGGAGGGAGATAGAGAGAGAGAGAGAGAGAAACATCAATGTGCGGTTGCTGGGGGTTATGGCCTGCAACCCAGGAATGTACCCTGACTAGGAATCGAACCTGGGACACTTTGGTTCCCAGCCCGCGCTCAATCCACTGAGCTATGCCAGCCAGGCTGATTTAACAGATTTTAATAATGAGGGAAATTTAAGTGCTGTGTGAGTGATCAATTTTTGATAAAATATTTAGGATTACTTGGATGAACTTCTTTTCGGTGGGCGTTTAGGGAGGAAAGAATCTCTCTGTTTTTTCATTCTGGTTTTTACTTTAGTGGAAAAAAGACAAAGCCTTCATTATTTGAATTATACAACTTCAGCATTCACAGTTTACCATTTGAATAACCTATGAGAAAAGAGTGAAAATAAGAATTTAGGTTTGTTGTTTTAAAATACTTTCATTTAGGTTGTGGTACCTACATTTGTAAGCTAGTTATTGATAAGGGATTCTTTTTTTTTTTTTAATCCTCACCCGAGAACATTTTTTTCATTGCATTTGAGAGAGAGAGAGAAAGAGAGAGAGAGAGAGAGATATCAATGTGAGAGAGAAACATCAATTGGTTGCCTCTCGTACATGCCCGGACCAAGGATGGAACCCACAACCTGAGTATGTGCCATGACCCAGAATCGAACCCATAATGGTTTCATTTATGGGACAATACTCCAACCACCTAAGCCATACTGGCAAAGGCCAAATGATTCTTTCAGAGACCTAAATTGATAAATCTGATCGCAGTATATGTTGAATGGTTGAATATGGGAGAAACACCTTTTTTCTGAAATATAAAATTTACAGTATTTACTAGCTTGTGTTAACCCCTCCCTACATCTGATACAATTATCAAGGTTTTAGTTTTAGCAGAGGATGGAAGGGTTCTGTTCTTGCGCAACTTCAGAAGTGATCGGAACAGCAGTGACAGTGTTTCTTACTGGAGCACAGTTACTCAGCAGGCATTGAATGCTGGCTCCTCTCCCCTCACCCACGAGCCATGCTCGGCTGCAGACCAACTCAGGGCAGGTGATAGCAGTACAGGGTCCTGATATCTCTTAACAAATGGCCGGGTGAGATGGCTCTGACTTGGAAAAGGTATAACTTGTTGGCCATTTGTACACCTTCTTTGGAAAAAAATGTCTCCTCAGTTCCTTTGCCTATTTTTAAATCAGACTTTTTTTTTGCTATCTAGTTGTATAAGTTCTTTATATATTTTAGATATTAATTTCCTATCAGATATATAGTTTGCAAATATTTTCTCCCATTCTGTAGACTGCCATTTCATTTTGTTTATTGTTTCTTTTGCTGTGCAGAAGCGTTTTAGTTTGATCTAGTCCCACTTGTTGATTTTTGCCAATAAGTACATGAGGAGGTTCTCACCATTACTAATCAAGAGTGAAATGCAAATGAAAACCACCTTGAGATATTATCTCACACCTGTCAGAATGGCTTTTATCAAAAAGACAAGAGACAGCAAGTGTGAGCAGGGATGTGGAGAAGAGGGAACCCTTCTGTACTGTTGGTGAGAATGTGAATTGGAGCAGCCACTACGGAAAACAGTGTGGAGGTTCTTCAAAGAAATCAAAGTTAGAACTACCATATGATCTAGCAATTCCATGTCTGGGTATATATTTGAAGGAAATGAAATCCCTATCTCAATCCCATGTTCATTGCAGCATCATTTGCAATAACCAGGGCATGGAAATAATCTAAGTGTCTTTTGGTGGATAAATAGGTGAAGAAAGTGGGATATATATACACACAAGGGAATAGTATTCAGCCACAAAAGAAAGAAATTCTGCCTTTTGCGAAAGTGTGAATGAAGCTTGGGGGCATTATGCTAAGTGAAATAAGCCAGACAGGAAAAAACAAAAATAAATTCTGTATGATGTCACTTATGTGGAATCTAAAACACTAGATAGAACTCATGGAAATAGACAGTAGATTGGTGGTTGCCAGGGTGGAGGGTGGGGGAAATGGGTGGTGGTAGTCATAGGGTGCCGTCTTCCAGGCATAAGATGAAGAAGTTCTGGGAATATGATGTGCAGCGTGCTGACTCTAGTTAACAGTACTGCACTGTATACTTGAAAGCTGATAAAGAATAACTATTAAATGTTTTCACCACATGCACAAAAAAGAATGGTAACTATGTGAGGTGATGGATGTGCTCCCTAACCTTATTGTGCTAACTATTTTGCCAAAATAGATGTATGAAATCATCACGATGTACACCTTAAACTTACACAATGTTATATGTCAAGTATACCTCAGTAAAGCCGGAAACAAAGGGAAAAAGTGTAGTTTGGAGATGTCAAGCCCAGAAGAGTTATAGAGAGCTGATTCAGCAATAGGTGATAGCCACAGCCAAACTCATGGGTTTTCAGTCCTGGGGGTTAAGCTTTGATTTCAGTCCGGACTGTTCTCCAGTTGGTTGACTGAAAAGGAACTCTGGGAAGAGTTTGAAAATAGACGGGTGGCTCTGTGGGCCTCCATTGTCCCCTTTCAAAAGGCAGCTCCAGCGACTTAGTGTTCTACCACATTTATTAAACTAAGACCCACAGTTGAGGGAGAAAAGGTGAATAATGCTTGAGAAAATCTTAGCACACTACATGTTTGGGTGGAATATTTTCCCCCAGTTGGGTTTTTCGTAGCCAGCCAAAGAGGGTTCTGTTTAGTCCTGGAGTCCCCTTTTCAGTATGCGTATGCAACCCCCAGAGCATTTAATATTAATTTCACATAAAGTATGATAGATGTGAGTAATCCCTGTGCGGTCCTGTGGAACATTTCCTATATAATTCTGACTGCAAAATGCAAACCTTTATTTTTCCTTCCAAGTGGCTTCTTATCAGAGGTTTCAGTGGAACACACTTGAGAAAAAAATGCCAAATTCTAGCTTAATATACACTGGCAATGAATGTTGAAGTCTACCTTTCCGGTGTATTCTAACGCTGTGGTCTTTTGTGGCCTACGTATTAATATGGTAAGGTCATGTGGGCAGCCCTTTCCTTTTAGGGCATTAGTCTTTGTGGTACTGGAACTGGACTTGCCTTTTAAGGCCATAACTGCTCCCTACTTTTCTTTGGAATTGAGGTTTTTAAGTGGAAAATCTGAGTCCAAACTCTTTGACTTCAGCACTGGGAAAACGCATGCTGAAAGGCCATTGTTTAGATTGTAGGAGTTGGTGAAGAGGTAGAAAAGAAAACAAAAATCCTTTTCTCAGGTGAAGGACACTGTAATTAAGGCCCCAACCCAGACATGTACCTCTTATAGAAATCTCAAATGTTTTTCTTTCTAACTTGGATTGTGTGGGTGTATTTGCTTTCATATCATGTCATTTGCTTGTTCCCCCAAACTCCCTTTGGAGGATTTGTTCTTCTAGACTACAGACCAGCTTTTTCTGTAAAGGGTTAGATAGTAAGTGTTTTGGGCATTGTGGGCTGTCATTATTGCTCCCTTGTGTTGTTTGACTGTGAGAGTAGCCATATTCAGTGTGTAAACAAATGGGTGTGGCCATGTACCAATAAAACTTTATTTGGAAAAATAGGAAGTGGGCTAGAGTTGACCCCCGTCCCCAATGATCATCACCAGAAATGATAACCAGGCAACGCAGGTGATTGCCTGGTGAGGTGATTATGTTCTCCACATACCCTGGGACGTTCTCGATTGAACCACAGTGTTAAAGCTGATGACCGACCCCACAGAAAACCGTCGTCCTGAGGGATGAGCTAGCAGGTATCCTGACCTAGGATATGGGGAGCACTGGTGACTGTATCATGCCCTGATGCTCCTGGCAGTTTGTTCATGGATTTCCATGTTTTCTCCAGGCACAACCACTGGTAAAGTCCTTCCTTCCTGTACCTGGCTCCTTTTTTTTTTTTGAGAAACCCAGCCTGGAGATGATTTCATGGTGCCTAATTTGCTCATCTCCTGGTTGCTGTCCTTGCTATTCTTAGTGCACTGCTTATAGAAGGGCCTGGGTTCCCCCTAACCTTTTGCAGCCTCCAAACCCACACAAGAAGGCGAGTCACTTTCCATTCTGACATGCCTGCCGCTTCCCCTCTCTCTGCCCTCTGGCTCTCACAGCATTTTCCCAGCCTGAGAATAAACTGAGAGACGTCTGAGAATTGTTTTTCTAAGATGTCAGATCAGGTTATTGAATTCATTCACAGACTTGGGCTACATCCACTGAGCTCAAAGCCACCAGCAGAACCAGAGGCAGTATGGGGCTGGCGGGCCTGGCACACAGTCCTTGAGGTAATCTGAGGTTTAACATGTCCTGTTTTGATAGTCAAAGGCTTTTAAGTACATTAAAAGATCGCCAAATGTCAAGAGGATGTGGGAAAGCTAATAAGCATGATGGTAAAGCACTTGGTAAGTGTGCTGTGTAAGTGGTTAGTAATCAAAAGTAATGCTGTATTTATTTATCCAGAGAGCTCACAACCAAGGACCCAACATCAAGAGCTTCAGTTAATATAGTGGGTGTGAGGCTCGGAGCCAACACCCAACCTTTACCTTCAGATAGGCAAAAACAGAAAACCTCTTTCCATTTTCTTGTGTCCTGATACTTAGCAGTGACCTTCTACCTTCTTTGGGGTTTTATTGTTTTGTTCCTTTCCCATTTGCATTGTTTCCTAAAACTTGCATGGGTGGGCATTCAGTTCCCCACAGAGCTGACTCATCCAGCCCTCCGCTGTCAGGTTTAAAACAAATATAATTAGAAAACCTACAGCTAGGCAACATGAAGGTTATAAACTAAAATCCCCAGTCAGGGAAACAGAGTGAGTCATCTACATACTGGTCTGCATGCAGAAATGCTCATATTTAGCTGCTCTACCAGTCATTGAAACCGATGCCACCAGACAATCAGGAAGGTGGCCATGGGGGGTGGGGGGAGCGTCAGGGACAGTGGGGGGTGATGCCTAGCACCCGGTTTACCTGAAAGGATCATCCTTGTTGATTTGGGTGGTTGGTTCTGTTTCCCCTCTGAGAACCGTAGATCATGAGATGATGTATCTCCTTCTAGTTAGAGGTGGAAGGTCCCAGTGTGACAGCTGGGTACCTACTGCAGTGAAATGGGGCCATTCAGGGAGGATGGTTCTGGTGCAGAGAAGATGGCTTTGTTTCCTTTGAAATTGTTTTGGAATGCACAGGTTCTCGTGTCATACCACGCCCATTCCCCCAGCACAGTGCTGGACTTGCTGTTTTTGTGAAGTTTACTTAATCTGACCTGTGTGAATATAGACCATTTCTCTTGCTTTCCAATCTTTAATCTCTGAGTTGGATCTTCTGCACACATACCTCAAGTTTGGCAGTCTACACTACTTTTCAGAAGCATCATCTCTTCCTCAGGAGACATACGTGTAATCGTGGCTGTAGATGTGGCTTAGAAAGTGGCCTTGTTCGCTCTTTCAGTCCAGACCCGCTCTCCCGTGTCAAGAGCAGGCAATGCCTTGCCCGTTTACTGTTCCACCAGATTGGTTTTTCACTCTACTGCCTGTTGCCTGAGAAATGACTGTGCATACACCTATGACATTTCTAATTATTGTACTACCATATCAGTCTAAAATTACTTTGTAGAAACAGGGTTATGTGTAAATGGGAGTTGGGACTGTCTTGGCTAACCCTTGTATTTTACCATAGATGGGATCTATGCAGCCTAATTACATCTATATTTTTAAGCTATAGATACGCGGTAGTGGGAACACACCGAAATGTGAGAGTGGCAACTAAGGGGAGATGTCTTTCAAATGTTTGTATCACCAGATGAGTACTTGATTGGGGACAGGGTAGGAAGAGTCCAGTTAAGCCCTGATAGGTGTACTTACTGTGTTTACCAAACAGATCTGTTAATTAGCTAATCTCTTATGTTGTTAGTCACAGATATTAATACTATGTATTTTTCTTTTCTTCCCCAGCAACATCCATTTTTCACCCTACATGAATCCAAAGCAACAGATGTGGCATCTTTTGTAAAACTGATTATTGGAGACTAAAAGCAATGGACTCAATCAGTGGACCCTCCTGTGGATTGGTGGGTTTACGGGGTGAAGCAAGTTCACTAAAGCGCCAATAGAAACTCATCTTTGAGATAATTTAACCCTGCCTCTCAGAAGGCTTTTTTTCTTCCCATTTTCTTTTTGTTTTTTTTTTCCCCTCCAAAAGGGGCCTTGAAATCTATAGTATAGAATGAACTTCTGGCTGGATGAAATAGAAAGGCTTAGGACTTGAAAAGGTGATTAAATATTTAATGATGTGTCATATGAGTCCTTAAGCTTCTCAGACTTCTCTTGTTCTTTACAAAATGAATGCATTGGCCCTGGAAAAAAGGTGCTACAGTAGTGACGAAATTGTAAGTAGATTTGTAGTCTGTCCAACTTATTATTTTAATATTTATGTTTAAGCGCTTGGTTGAAAAGATCCCATTTTATGCAGGGAGGGAGATACAAAAGACAAGGTTGGTTTGGCAATATTTATAGGGCTTTTATTTTTTAAGTTCAACTGTGTCTGTGGTCCAGAGGAAATTATTTAATATGCATCTTTAAGAGTATTATAAAAGTATCAACAAGCAGCTCTTCTTGTGAAATATCTGTTTCAGCTGTTGCGGCTGCCGCATGTTCTCAAATTTCTGCTCAGTCCTGGGTAATAACCACATATTCTAGGTGAAGTGGCAAGGTATCCTGGTCAGACTCTTTTCCTAACTTTGGAAAACAAAACTCACTTTTATCATAGCTCAAAGAGTCACAAATTTGGTTCTCTTGACATTTGTGGTATAGTATTAATGGAGTGGGATTCGTGATGTTCCTGTCACCTCTTTCTGTCTTGTGTGTGTGTGTGTGTTTGATAAGTCACACGTTCTGCCAAGTGGCTTCTGTGAACATCCATATTCAGTAAGGAGGATATTTGTCAGCCCCGAGGGGGGAGTGTCACATCAAACCACACAGAGAATTTGTTCCTTCTGCTGTTGCCCCTCCTACAATGTGCAAATCCCAAGGATTGCCTTGTGGTTAACGTACTCTTTTACTTTGTTTGTTTGTTTGTTTGTTTGTTTGTTTTTGTGTTCAATGACGAAGCCTTACTATTAATGGAAGGGCTGCCATAGAAGAAAATTAAAGGCAGTTCGTTGTCCCTTGATGAGATGAGGAGATAATGGGGAGGGGTGAATTATTCCTGGGAACCGACTGCCAAAGTTCCACGAGTTGAATTGAGGCCACATCTTTCCTCAGTAGCGTGCAGTAGCTTGTTCCACAGCAGGAGGCTAGCTCCACTGTGCATTCCAAGCAGGCTGAGTAAGCAACGAACAAGAACTCTTCCTCATGGCCAAATATACCAATGGGTTCTCTGATCTGGGCTTTAGGTTCCTGGAAGGTCAAGGGGTGAAGTGATCCACAGGGAAAATACTACCGATTCTAACCTGGAAACACTGCTTTTGGAACATCAAGGCTACTCTTGGCAGTACAGAGGCAGAAGATTTTGATGAAACAAGGAAGAAGAGGACACACTCTGTTTCTTTCCCCACCTCAAGTTCACAAATATGGAGAGAGGATTGCTCCCCCAGTGCTCCCATTCTTCCCCTATTAGATTTTGAAGTGCGATTATATTTTTCTCTGTTAGCATTTTCTCTTTGGTCTTGACCTCTAGCTCACAGCAGTTGCCCAAAGAGGCTATGGCATTTCCATGAACGTCTTCGTATTCAGTTGCAAGAGATACCTGTTTGATTCAACATCCGTTTCGTTTCATCTGCTCTGAAGCTACCTCTGTTCTCATCTTTTTCCAGCCAGAAAAGGGGTGTTATCTTAATGGTCATGACGATTCATTTTCCGACCCATCTTCCTACATCTGCAAGTTTCCCTCCAAGTCAGAAAAGAAAAAAATCACAACTGTATTTTTTGCTTTATTTATCTATCTTATGAAAAAAGAAAGTAGTAGAAACAAATCTGAGGTCATTCCATTACAGCTTTGTGAAATATGTAAAGCAAAACATCTTTCTGGTCTGGGTCAGATTACTCTTAACTGTTATTCAGTGTGGTTTCTACTTGGAAATATTCTTAACCAAGTGTGTTTCTCATGTGTGCACATCTCCATTCGGTAAGCCCAAGGCCTGAGCTTCCAGAATAATTGTAGTGGGGTAGAGACGTTAGTCAGTGGTTCTCAACCCTGGGGAGCATTGGAATAGCTGGGAGCTTGGAACACCATCAGTATCAGGGTTCCCGAGATTTGGATTCCATTGGGCCCTGGGTGGGGCCTGGGAGTTGGTATTTTTTATAAGCCACTCATGTGATTCCGAAGTGCACCAGGGTTGAGAACACTGGTGTAGTACTTTGTAAAAGGAGAGTTGACTTAAAATTTGTCTTGAACATTTGCAGAGAGTAATGAGTGGCTACAGAGAGGAACAGGAGCCCCCACTTCTTCCCCTGTCCTCACCAGTGGGGACATCTTTGCCAGTGTTAGCAAAGGCGTGCTCCTGCAATACTGATGTGGACTTTGGGATGCCTTTTCCCCAGGGGCATGATGTACTGCATGATGATTAAGTATCTTATGTACCAGAGTAGAATGACTTGATAGCCTTACAGGTCTAAAGTTTAGAACGTGCTTTTTGAGAACTGTGTTATAAGTTATAAACAACTAATATTAAAATAAATATAGAGATGCATAAACTATATCTAAGTTGATGTAAGTTGGGAGTCTCCTGTACATACATATATACATATATATGTATATAAATGTATATGTACAGCTGTATATATACACACACATGCATACCTATAAATATGTACATACATATATAGGTAAATATGTATGTGTGTACATAAATATGTGTGTGCATGTGTGTGTATATATATATATAAAGAGAGAGAGAAAGAGAATGAGAGAGAAGTGCGGACCTGTCAGAATACCTCTACAAAAGAGATTATGCCCGTTTTTCCAAATGTATTTGATTTGGTATCATATAATTGTTCATATTATAAATTGGCTTTATGTTTATAAAACTATCATCTCTATATATATCTTGTTGATTGCCAAGGTGTGCCAAAAAAGTAATGTGAGTGACTTTAAGACAATTGCCTTATATGTGTTTGCATCGTTGAGTATCGTCCTCCAGGGCAGCCACCGTGCAGACGGCCTATTTATGTAAAGAATGCTGCTAAAACAGTTTTGCCCCTTCCCTCTCCTTCAGGAAGGGCTTCAGAATTCATTTCCTCACCCACACGGGTAACACGCATAACCATTTTATAATGACTCCTTAGTTGTTTGTTTGCTTTACAAAAATCCTTACCAGGTATTTTCTTCTTTGCTTTACCTGACTTTTATGATCAGACTTAACACAAAGTTGTGTTTGGCAATTTCTAGAACTCAAACCCACCCTCACAGCTGAAGTTTTGCCATTACCGCATCTTTTTAAGAGACTTCGTCATGGGCCCTGAAGAGAACTTCAAAAGTACATTTCCCCCCAAAGTGTACATTTGCTTTTAAGTAATGTCATCCTTCCTGGAATAAGTGTAGCACTTCCCAGACTTTGAGGGAAAAAGAACTCACCTAATGTATATATTTGATGATAAAATACAGTTAGGTTGTCTCTGATTTCATACCCATCTCTTAGCCATGATATGGAGGGACAGTTCCATTGTTCTAAAGACTGTTTAGTCACACTGTTGTTGTCAGGAAGAAGTGGTTAAATAGCAGCCTCTTTCTCCATTAAGCTTCCTGAAATGGAAAATGAGTAAGTGTGGATAGGGCCCAATATTGTTTGTATTTCACTATTCTTGTCTGTCCTCTAAGCCTCACCAAAAAAAAAAAAAGTATATGCCAGGGATTCCCAAACTTTCTCTTTGTGGTATCCCAATGGTTGTCTTAGGAATTTTTCTCATGGTGCCCTAGGCCAAAATAAATATTGAATAATTCCACCTATTGGGTAACTAGGTTCCAACAACTTAAGTGGCAGTTTGCACAATGTCCTAAAGGTGTTGCTGTGTTTCCTTTGAAAGTTTACCCTCTCTGGTGGTGCCCCGTGAGCTCGCTCCTTGCTTCAGAGTGTCTCAGCACACAGTTCGGGGACCATCGATGTCTGTGCTGCTGATGTTCGCACCGTCCACGGTTGGTGACAAAGTGGAATTCCTGGCTACTCAGTCTTCTCTATCACTTCCCTCTTGGTGTTTCTCCATCATGATTGTCTTGCTTGCCTCTGGTTGATTAGCTTTATAATTGAGGTCCTGCCCTCCATTGCTTTTCATCACTCCTGCCATGCCATGTGTCGTGATCTAGACAATGAAATACTCGTCACCTCCAGCATGAGAGGAGACTAGCACTGAGATTAAAGGGGCCCTTGGTGTCTCCAAGTGCAATTGATTTCGTATGTTTGGAGTAGAATCACAAAGGAGGCAAGGAGGGACTGACGTGTTCATAGTTGAACAGTAAAAATGCTTTTGTTGACCAAGGGGCTTCGTCAGCTCTGCTCAGAAACTACTCAGTTTCTCTCAAAAGTGTCTAACAAAACACTTTATCTCCTGCATGAAAGTACAGTGGGTTCCCAGTTCTGATTTCCCATCCAATTTTCTTTGGCGGCCTTGAAGATGGGAATAGCATAGTCATAAATTTGTTGGAGCTGGTGGTCAGATCTCGTAAAATGAATGAAAGCTCTGTTGTGCTGGGGATGTTGCCTTCTTAATGTCTATCCATGACTGAAAGCTTAAAGGGAGATTTGCCGGCTTAAAGGAATCTTCAATTTTTATTGAATTAACAAGTAGAAGGTATAATTTTCAATTAGACCACTGACAATTTACATAGGCAGATGGAAAAATGCCAGAGTAAGTCTAGAAAGAGGAAGCTACCAAACCTGAGAGGAGAGAAAAAAAGATACTTTATTCTGAGGGTCCGCATTCCTCTCATTAAGGGTATGTGTGTGTGTGTGTGTGTGTGTGTGTGTGTGTGTGTGTGTGTGTTTGTGTGTGAGCACTGTCCAGTGTGCCAACAGCTAAAGACACCTTTCAGTTTTCTTTGGCTTTAATTGGGGGTGCTCTGGATTCCTTTGGGAATCTGGTGATGGCTGGGACCTTTTCCCTAGGAACATGCACATTGGACATGGAACTTTTGCAAACATTTTTTGTGGAAGGTGAAGGGAGTAGAGTACTGTGTGAAGACCCCATAAGATCAGGAACCTCTGCTCTGCAGAATGTGGACCGTGACATCCTAGACCAGGGTTGGCAAACATTTTCTGAAAAGGGACAGATAGTAAATATTTTCAGCTTTGTGTCCCATCCAGTCTCTGTTGCAGCTAGGAGGTGTGAAAGCACACATAAGTATGTCGGTGAATGAGCTCAGGGCTGTGTTCCAATAAAGCTTTATTTAGAGAATCAGGCAATGGGCTAGACTTGGCCCCCAGGCCGTGGTTTGCCAATGCCTGTCCTAGGCCATCCAACACAAAACTCTTAATTAATGTGTGTAGAGTTCTTCCATTTAGTGTATTGTTCAGCAGCTGCTGAGGCAGATTAGGAAGATGGACACAGGAAAAAATTCGGAAAGGATGGAAACTGTTCAGTCCCATGAAAATTGCCTCTTGATTTCCTCAGGTAAGTATCCATTCCTTGCTGTGGAAGCCAATAGGACAGTTTTCTTTAGATTAAATTGAGTACCTACTTTTTACTTTTTTTTTATAAGTACCCAACGTAACTTATTTCAACTTGGAAATGAAAGACACACCTTTCTTAGACCTCAACTGCATCCTCATCTCTTGGCTTTGCCTTGTGTTTCTCTCTGCGGTGTGGTCACATGCGAGGAGAATTATGACCCTGGACGATGGCCATTTGGTTTTCCTTTCCCTGAGCTGTGTCAGGATTGAGACTTTGGGAGGCCATGCTTACATCAGAGGCAGAAGGCAGGTAAAATTCTCAAAACTCTTCCAATTCATCCATCTCATCTATTTTGCCATCTTTTCGGAAGGGAAGAAAAAAAAGGTTTGTTCTCTGTGGACTTAGAGCTCCAAGCTCTCCCTGTGACAGCAGACCTCGGCCTTACCCTGGACTTGAAAAGATGAGGCTGCTTTGCCTTAATCCTTTTTTAAATCATTAGTTTCTATTTTAAGAGGTCTATGCAAAATGCCTCCTTTCTGATGTGATTTTTTTGGGTTTCCAGCCCTGGTTGAATTTCGGGGCTCCATAGCCTCTCGTGAGAACTCTCTCTTCCGGGCGGAACCACAGCCACTGTGTGATTGGCTTTGCCTTCTGTCTACAGTTCTGTCCACACCCCTTCTTTCTGTGCAGAATGCTCTGCGGAGGACAGCCAGCCAGCCGAAGCTGTATCCGTTTTCTTCCAGAACAGTGTAACACATCTCACTTCCAGCTAGAGTCTCTTTCGTGTTCAGAAGCACGTTTCCCCTACTGCGTCATCAGACAAACACAGACTACACTCAGGAACTCTTTAAGAAAGCACATTGAAGTATTTGATCTGGCACTTTACCTGAATGTTTCTCTCACCCAGGGAAACAAAACCTGCATTCCAGAGCCTTCAGACGGAAGTTATTCTCTGGGGGGAGCACGCTGCCACCAGACACATCACTCACCACCTGTTCCTGGTGTCTGCAGAGATGTCATTTTTCTGAGGTTTAGAGAGTTACTGTTTACAGCTATGCAAATATAATCTGCCATTGAAGGTTTTCTGAGAAGGTCATTTGGAATCAAGACTTAGGCGGGGGTTTAGTTTTTCAGTATCTGATCCAAACTCCTTTCATAAGCAAAATTTCTTTAAAAAACCTCTTTCCTAGCTGAGGTGGAGAGGACTTGGGCCTAAGCAGAAACACAAAGCAAGGTCAAGGACTTTGTGGTGGGGCTATTTTTGTTAAAAAGAAACCATTATCTCCTTGTAACACAACTTAATAGAATTTACAAACATCCCGCCTATGTCCCTGGGACTGTCAAATTGGTATCACTTGTAATGTCACTTGAGCTAGGATACTGAACCCTTTATTCTTGGGAGATAACAGATTTGGGGAGATTTGCATTGTATTTCTCTCTTACCGTCAGTATGGGCAGCTGCGGACAGTGGGCAGTGAATCTTGGCATGCCCAGGTTTTCCCCAGGTTGTGTTTTTGCATTCCTGGGATTCAGGGTCTCTTTCAAGTAAGGAGGCTGATTGCTCTTATGACTTGGAAATGGACTTCAGGGAAAGCACGGGGAAGTCTAAGCTCTTACTTGTGCCTTAATATAGGAAACAGAACTTCCTAAGTTATCCCCAGAGTCTGTGGCCTCAGCCAGGCCATCACAATCTTTTATGTTTTCCCTGATTTCATTTTCTTGTTATTCCTCTGCCCATCACATATGACCTGGGCTGACTTAACACTTATGTGGGAAGGAACCGACCCAACTATTTTCGTTTATCGAAACTCAGAATCAACAATTTTACATGGTGTGCCTACATGGATTCTACTGTCCCCAAGCCTTGAAAATGTAAAGGATATCTAAGAGAACTTTTAGCCAAACCCTCATTCAAAATATTGACCTTATAATAAAACTCCCCTTTGGTCTTTAAAGAAGAGCAGCTGGGTTGGGTACTTTTTCTCTTAAGTCATATTCTGTTGTGGCCAGAAATGAGTAGTTAACATCATTTTGGACACTACCAGTGTTTGTATTGGAGTCTGCAAGTATTTCAGCAAAGAAAGTCGGGCCACTGCCTTAGGGATTATCATTGAGTTTT